TTTTTTTTTTTTTTTTTTTTTTTTATACAGAAGTGTTTCTTATTTTTACTCATTTCGTTAAATCAACTTGGATCGTATATATTTTTAAAAAATCGCCATCATTTGCATTTTCGCGAAAGTTGCGTGAAAACGGCTTAACCTGTTCTTGCCCGGCGAACAAAACGATCGACCTAACAAACTCCGTTTCTTCTGTTTGCAGATCGTACAACGATTCGAGGCGGTGACCGAGCACGGCAAAACCACGCAAGGTAACACTGCTTTCACTTTATTTGTCGTACCGTTTAAGCAATCGCAAAACACTGAAAAATCGCTGAATTATCCAACGATGCACGGGAAACATTTCGCTAACGTAACGAAGCGGAAAAGAATCGTGGAACCTGACATAGAAGAGAAACATTCGGGTCAATTCTATGAGAAGAGAAAAAGCTGAAACTATTTTCGATTTCGGCCCGTGTTACATCATAATCGCGTAGAGTAATATCGTATAACGTTGACTCACTTCCGGCCGCTTTAGTTTAATATTCCGGCTGTGACGCACGCCCTTCCTCCGTTCATCCCATCGGTAATGCGTTCGGTAAATATTCGAAGGCTGAGAAAGTAATTCATCAAAGTTAATTTATCAAACGAACCAACCAACCAATAAATCGTCAGACGGCCACCCATCGAGGACTACCGCAAAGAAGTTCAGTTCCATAGTTTCTATCGACGATGAAAATTTCCTACATCGAGGATTTTCAAACTTTTCATAGCATCAAGTCTAAAATTGAAGGATCTAGCAAATGAAACCAAGTAGAACGAGTAAAAAGTAAAATCAAGTAAATGGTACTACCGACAAAAATACACAAGATATCAAGAAATTTTATAAAATTATACGCTAACTCGCTATAATCCTTAATAGTTATCATCAAAGGAAATCATTGATACTATTATCATGTGTGGAGTTCTACGTTATTTTACTTTAGTGACGAATGAAATAAAATAAATATAATTAAATGTTTTGCCATTATACAATATTAGATACAAAGTAGAGAATGAAATTTCACCTATGGCAACCTTTAAGAATTAATTAAATGACAAAAGTAACTTGAATTCGAATATGTTATTTGAACTTCGTGTCCATACGAGTTGAAGTTATTTGAATTCAAATTGTTCCGATGCGAAAGCAACTTGAATTCAAGAAATGTGACTCAATGTTCACGTTACGTGAGAACATGTTTCTGAATGGTGTGAAAAAACTGTAAGTGCAATTCAAAGCAATGAATCACATGGTAATCGATAAAATAGCTAAGCTTTCATAAGTAACATTTCGAGTGATTCTTGCTCGAAGGTGATAGGTTAACGTGAATTTATGTATATTTCGTAGAATGATGGAATGCAAATGTCGTTCTGAGTTCGATGATTTTTGGTATTCAGCCGAATGGAGGTCGACGATTAATCAATGAAGAAAGTTTCGTATGGAAACTGTTGGCAACAACGTTTTATTTTTCACGTGATCGGATTGGTGGTGTTTAGTGATATTTCTGGACCACTGTCAAGTTAATTGCACGGTTTTGAAATATGCCAGCTTACGAACGACAATGGCATTCAGTATTATACTTAACCGATGTTTACGTAAAGTCTGGCCTTTCAACGCTGTTTCTTTGTACATATTAACGCTAAGACGTATTAGTGTAACAAACAATAACAATGAAAGTCGACTACTTTACTACGTTGAATGAACGCCAGGTCCATTAATCATCATCAGTTTCTTGAATTTTGTGTGGAAAAATAAGCAAATACATTGTAGGAATCATCGTTAAATTGTTCTATGAATCATGAGAATTTTAGCGTTTGTTAAATATTAAACAATTGAACATACAGAATTGTCCCATAGAATGGATGGCGATGAATGATTAATTGTAAGGGCGTCGAAATGTGATTCCCAAACGTTTAATGCAGTTGATGTATCGTATTCCCAAATCGTTCCAAAATATTAATTCGTACGAAATGAATCTATATCATCAAATTTAGTTTCAGAATAATTTATACAAGGCAGCGTCACTGAACTTCCATCATACGAAATAAAGGTTGATATTCAAATTAGAATGAAATTCAAACTTTTTGACTCAAATTTTAAAGAAGATTCAAATTCACATACAAGTTCTCAAATTTTCAAGTTCAAGTTTTCAAATCCAAATAAAAATTTTGATCGATCATCCTTGATGTTAATTGAATCAATCGTTCAATTAAATCAAACGAAACATCTTTAAAAAAAACTTCTACGAGCGCAAGAAATTCAAGCAATGCAAATCTTGAGACGTTTATTAATAACTCCTTTTAATATCATTAAAAATTTTAATGTCCAAATTAAGTGCCAAAAATTGCCTGTGCCAAAATAGATCCAAAACTCTTGGAACGAGACCAAGGAAAATTCCAATTCGATTTCAAATTTAAATAAAAATGCATGTCAACAACAACTCATTCCTGAAGACTACCACAAGCATGACAAACCCAAAATACGCAAACCTCAAGCACCTCGACGCGCCACATAATGTAAGCTCACAGCACATTACGTGTCCGCGCGCCAAACAACGTTCATCTTCCGCGTGTTTCCGCGGTGGCCGTGTTTCACAGCGATTTCGGCCGTGTCGCGTGTTCCTCAGAATTTTCATATTCCCTCGGTCTGCTTGTAATAAAAGACAATGAGAGCCAGCTTGGTCGCGCGTCCTGACAAAGCTTGTGAAGCTGATTTATCGGCGCGTCATGAGGACGCGTTAGGCCGTCTGTCGACGTTCCTCGAGTTTCGAGCAACGGAACGTGTCGTAACGAGCCGGCATTCATGGTACAGCGAGAAGAACGGCCTTGCTACATTATTAGACACCGCGCGGCATTAGGCGTGCAACAAAAGCGGCATGCACACGCTTCGATCGTGCCACGGATCTTTACACGCGTAGCTGTCGTTCAAATATCGATCTCAGTCGATTGTGGATTTTATTTATTTTTAACCTTCTATCGAGCTGTAACGAATAATTTTTAATGGACTTTGTTGATTGTATATTTGGAGGAAATTTATTGCATACTTACAGCAACAGTAACGATCGATTTGTTGCATAACCTGCACGTCGAAGATGTTTCGTCTCGGCATCGAGGCCTTGGAATTAGAATTCATACAATACATATGTATAATGCAGTGACTCGCGAAAGTATTTGAACAGTTACCATAGGCGATTTTTACGAATATATATTATGTGTGATATACGACATTTTTTGAAACTTCGTTTCCATTGTACAAGACAGGACTATCGTTATTATATTAATAAAATTTTATATCAATCCGGAAATACGTGTAGGAGTCGCAAAGCGTTCATTGGAAATATACACTTGTAAAATTAGCGTACAGCATGAATGCTGATCTTAAACATACAATTTGTACTAAAGATAGTCTCGCTAAATATTCTGGCTTATTAATATAGTAAATAATTCATAATTAATAAAACATAGATAATCGTTCAGATACTTCAAGGATTTTTGCAAAGTATATGTTTCCAATAAATACCTAATAACATCTATGTACATCTTCAGATTCGTTTCAAATTTTTATCAATGTAATATTACCAATATAAACCGTAGCCGTGTCTCGGTTGCTGTGTTAAGAAGATTTCAAAATGTTTCGTACAACATGCAGTATCAGTAAGCAGTTTCTACGAGTATTGGAATATTTCCGTAAGCCACTGTACATTCATAAGAGGTATCATGCAAGTGTTAGAATGCTTTCGTCAGTGTGTGTGTATACTTGCACTAAATGTTTAGTAACTCTTATGTACATACATTTTTAATTATGTTTAAAGCTCTAATGTGGTTGTAATAGTTGTTTCTCGATATAGTAAGGCTGTTCCTATGAACGACACTCTACGTAACTAATCATACTAATATTAGCACCGTTTGACTCACCACGGTGATTTTCCTGTACCAATACAACTTTTCATATGTTTCACCACGCTCATGAATTTTTGCTCTTGCGGCCTCTAGATGGAAGTGAAAAATACCATCTGGAGCCAGGCCAATCGGACTATTCGCAGAGCAAGTGGCATAAATAGCTTTGTTGTCCGGTGAACGAGACGGTGCGTTAAGTATCTTGTCCGCTGAACGGGAGTCCGTTTTCCGCGTGGAGAGCAAATTACGTCAACGGTTGTAATAACATTTTGATATCCGAGAATGACGTTTTAATGACTTTCTTTTGAATTTCTGAAATTTTATATGAATTCTTTGGAACGACATTTAACACGACAAAATTAGTAATAGTCGATATCTACATTTACATTTACATTTACATTTTAAATATTTTTCGATTTTACAAGATTGTAAAAGAAATATTAGAAAGTTTGCAATCGACGAGAATAAGATTGACCTCGTCATAATATTTAGTAGATAAAACGATTATTTACCTAGGTTACACATTTTAAATATGAATTCGCATAAATATTTGCTTTCTATTCATCAATGACCATCACCGCTCCCAATTGTCTTCAAATAATCTTAACACTCAAAAAAAAAAAAAAAAAAAAAAAATATTTTACCCTAGGAGCTGTAATAAGTTGGAATATACTACATAAAGTTTAATTTTTCCAAAATATCGTATGAAGATGCAATTTTAATAAATATCTTCGCCCCTTTTCTTAGCATTGCTATCTGAGTTATTAACATTATGGACAATTTTTTAGTCCACGAAATTTATCTTCTTTTAATCACTTCAAAATATCTGGTAACGTGGGTCACCGTGACATTCAACGTGTTAACTAAGAACTTCCATCGAAAGAACCATACAGATCTCATTCTGAAACTATACCTCAGCTATCCACTCAAATGACCATCGTCTCTATTCATGACCACGACCAGCGGTAAACAACAGGCTACGGTAAGATGCATTCATGCTGCTTCTGCTTGTGTTGCCATTTGCTACTAAATGATCGACGTTAATCGTCTTTATCCACATCGTAAAACTTACCCTTGGGAGAGTTCGCAAGTTGCTAGGAGTACGCGCGTGAAAACGGTTTACGAGCAGTTTTTCACGCGAGGAACCGGTCGTTTCCCGTTTCGCAGAGACGACGGCCCATTCACAGCGACGCGGTCGGTCACTCGGTCGAGCGTGGTATTCCTGGGGTGACACACACCGCGCCGTCACCCCGACGGAGACGAGGCCTTCTCTATTTATAAATGTGGGTCGACGTGGCTGCGCAGCCGGCTCGTTTCGTCATTATTACGAGTCCGCGCGGAAACCGACTATTCTCCTCTTTCTTTCTATCGCTCTATCCAACCCGTGGACTTCGATGCATACCGCGGCAGAATGACGATTAATTGGCTCGACGCCTGGAATAGGGCGATTGTTAATCGTCTCGCGACTATCGCTTCTTCATTTTGTTTGTGGAAAGGAGAAACGTTGGGAATTTTTCTAAACTCGATGGATTTCGATGAATCTTGATCGAAGGAAGGAAGATTTGTTATAGTTAGACTGTGGATATGTTTATGCACATTCGCATCCTTTTTTTAAATAGGACAATTTCTGATCGCCTCGCGACTACTGCTTCTCGATTTCGTTTGAGAAGAGGAGAAATATTGGGCATTATTGTAAGTTCGATGAATTTTGGTGAATTCTGATTACGGAAGGAAGATTTGTTATAATCAGGCTGTAGATATTTCTGAAAATGTATTTCTTTGTTGAGCAGGCCGATCGCTGATCGTTTCACAAGTACTGTTTCTCGATTTCGTTTGAGAAAAGGAGAAATGTTGGGAATTTTCATATGTTTGATGGATGAATTCTGACACAAGTAAAACGTATTTGTGAATAAATTATAATGTTATTATAAATTTGAGCTTTCGACTTTCTAAATGTTGCTCTTTGTTGCCATAAATGGATGAAGTGAAAGTGTCACCTTTATCGTAGATTTTTCTGATCTTTACGGGATATTTATCATCTATTATCGGAATATTATTCGCGATATTGTCGTTCAGCATTTAAAACTTCCAAGATGTAGCTTGTAGAATATCTCTTCTATCATACCTGTCACGTTGCCTTTTTGTTGCCATTATAAACAAATGATAGAAAATCCTTTACTGTTACATAAAACAAACTTGTATCCTAAGTGCAAAAAGATACAGGAACTCCGCTTCAAAGGACAAGATATTTCTTGCCGCAGACAACCTCGATCGATCCGACTCTTTTACGCCGTATACGTGTCATGCTACTTCGAACTTCTCTTTCAACACTAACATCGACCATATCGCCTCGTTTGTGCACCATACATAGATATGAACCATATTTACGAGGTATATAGAAATTTTATGAAATCCGCCATCGAATCTGTCTAGACGCGAGACAAGTATAATAAAGAAGTAAGTTAGCGACTGAAATTTTTCCAATTCAATATATTCCATTTACCGTTTCCTATCAAAAAACACATAGCAACCATTGTACAATTCACCAGTCTTCGAATAATGACTCTCGGTGAAATTTTCTTGACACGTTGAATGCGAATGTTGAACGAATTTTATATTTTTTGCCCTAAAAGCTGCTATACATTGAGACATACAGTGCACTATAAATTTCAATTTTTACAAAATAGTCACTGTTATTTAAACAATTCACATTGTTGGACATTTCTCAATCCATGAAATTTATCTCATTTTAATCATTGTAAAAAATTTAGTATAAAGTATACATTTTACTTTACTATAAAGTAGTAAAGTAATACTCTACTTTATTATAAAGTAGAGTCTTGATGATCATCATAGCTGTCAACTGTTACATGTTTCTTAAACATCGATTTCTCTGTTGCTGGATTATCAATTCTTAGGCAATTTCGACTTACATGTAGAAATTTAAGAAAGACACGAAAGGAAAGTTTTTCATTAGATTAAAATGTTTCAATCATCAGTATTCATTATTATATACACGGCTAATTCGACCATTAGGATGTCATCGTTCCATTCCATTTGAAATCACAACAGGGGACTCGCAAATACGATTAAACTGGGTTGGCGCGGAATTCGCGCATAGATCGCAAGGTCGATTTCTTGAATGGCTTGGCATTATAGAGGAGAGACATCCGTTGTTCCGTTCCGTTCGTTAAGCTCGTAGAAGCTTGATTAGAACGGCGAGAACGTATGTATATATATCAATCGGTTAGCGCAGCCTTGGTCGTGGAACGGTCTTTTATTTTTAGAAAATTATTGGTCCGCCCTGTAAACAAGAAACTGATACTCTGTTTATCTTTACAGTGAGCAACCGCGTTCCCTCGCCTAGTTCTGTTCATGCTAGATTCTTTAGCGACCTATTGGATTATTTCAGAATCGATTGAACCCTTTGCTATCCGAAAATACCATGATACCATCAATCGACAACTCTGTCACGCTTTTGCAGGCAAATTTTTTAAATTAAAGATTTTTGAGTAAAAGAAACATTATACACTTCTATGAACTATATTATAACTACATATAATGCGATACTTTTCTTTCTTCCTCTCTTTGCTTTTCTTGTTATGCGTGAAAATAATAATAAAGTGCTAACATTTTTTTGAAGTTTAATTTTTGGAATTATTGGATTAATTGGTAGGTGAAGAAAAATAAGTTTGCGCATATTGGTATATAAATTCCAAAAATTAATATTCTATTCTAGTATTTATTTGGTAAAAAAAGGCGATTCTTCTAGTAAAAATGTTCTTTCATCTTGTCGAGTGTAACAAAAAATTATAAACTAATCTTAAGCATTCGAAAAAATTGCGTGGGGCCGACAGAAGATGACAGAAGTTGACAAAGTTTAAAGAAAGGAATGCCAAACTTTCCAGCCTTTGTTTCAGCATTTTTGCTTGCGAATGCTTTGTCTGGACAGAAAGATGCTTGTTGATCCTCGAGTATGTGGCAGTGTTTAGATCTTATTTTTGGAGGCACGTTCGAGTATGACATCGAAAGAGAATAACAAAACTGTAAAACATCGGGATCGTTCTCTGCATCTTTCTAGAACCAGTCTAAGCAACGTCATACCGAATGTGAAAGAAACCATCAAATGTTACCAAACTATAACTTCTTCGGCTTTATTTCTCTTATAAATAACATGCACGTCTCTAGAGAAACGAAAAACAACGAAATGTCTGATTTCACATTTTCTCATAATATCACTAATGATTAAAACCAATCACAATAACGTTCATGTTCTTACATATTAACACAGTTCGTTACCAAAATATTATTTATCGTACTGTTTCAAGGTAGCTTGCATAATATTGTTTCCAAAAGTTCCGAAAGTGACTCATCGACCGAGATACGTGGAAAAAAGAGGAAAACGCCGCGTGTTTTCAGTTCGACGTCGAGACGGTACAGAACGGAATGTGTATTCGTGACATTTGAAGGGGTGTCTTAAATTAAAACGATGGCAGGGCGGTCTGGGCTGGCAGCGGCTACGAAAGAACACGGCGATTGCCACATCGACTTTTTGGCAGTGGCCATTCTCGAGCTCTCGTTCGCCTTCTTTTTTCTCTGCTCTTGTTTGACACCCAGCCTTTACGATGTATATACGATAGTGTATACAATATAAATACACAATATACATGTGTGACCTACGTGTATATATAACATACAATCTAACTTACGTATGTGTATACATAAATATGTATTTAAACGACTGAGCAGTCGTTTAGCGGTCGAATGTTGCTTTTTTTTCCCAAAAACTACTATATTTTGAACGCAACACGTTTATTCGCGGTCTTGAGCGTTTCCAGTGACGCGAAATCGTTGCGTTGTTCGCTCGAGTTTTTACGAGCCAGCCTGTTATA